AATAAACGCATAAGGCAACATCAGAAACGAATTGATAGATATCGAGAGTTAGAATCTTATCTCGAGATGGTTAAGGGAGAAGAATTGATGATGAAAACTTTGAACCCTAAGTTATTCAAAGAAATAGAAGGATTCGGTAAGATAATTACAATATATTTCGCTTCTCGTAACTTTTTATTAATTATTATTATTATTTCATCAGATAAACTTATACTACAAGAAATGAATGATAGTAAAAAATTTCATGAGGATATGTTGAAACGCGAGAAAGAAACCAAATTAGATGACGTCATTTGATCAAAAAAAAATAATATAGACTAAATAAATTCATTAAAAAAGTACAGTATTTGATTAAAGAAATATAGTAATTATATATATAAATTATAAAATAAGTCAAGACTCTCTAAGTATAGCTTGTTGAGATATTGAAAATTTACTATTAAAAAAAAGAAAATACTTAAAGAAAAACTGCATTTAGAGAGAGTAAAGTTTATATTGCTCTATATTCTTGCACATGTATTTAGAAACATTTTATTAAGACTTGCTATAGAGGACCCGAACTCTGAGAATTATGACTGTATTCATAGAGGACCTGCACTCTGAGAGTCACGACTGTATTCATGTGTATTAAATATTGTAGCTATTTAAAATAAAATATTTTTATCAGAGGTAAAACTAAATCTTATGTAGTGCTAAACAATTTTAGGTTCAATATTTAGTTAATAATATTATATTTGAAAAGTTATAAAGATAATGATCATTTCTCTTAATTTTTAAGCATTAGGCAGAAATGCATAAATATTTTATAACTACGTATGCAACTTTTAATTTATTAGTACGTACCTTAATGGAATTTAAATTGAATAGTTTAAACATAAGACATTAATTTATTAACAAAATTAGCGAAGATGGAAAATGTTAGTGGATCATATAATATTAGATATTTTTATCAAAATAGATTAAAGTTAAAAATGATAAAGCAACGTGTAAGAAGAAGAACTATAACGTTAACAAACATACTTCTAACTGTATTAATATATATCTATGATGCAATATTATCACATTAATAGAAAACCATACATTATACTAATAACTCATTGAAAAATAGGCAAGTTTTTCATATTAATTTCATTTTATTTACTACTTTGATACTATAAATATCGAAATACTTTAGCAACATTACTGTATTAGCATTAGTAATTAAATATTAGAAATATACTCAACTATTTTTGGCAAATTTATCAAAAAAAAATTTTTTTTAATCATAATTTGTACGTAGTTAAGAGAGTTTAAATTCTTTGTAAGGTAATATACTGTTTAATTTAGTATATGTTTCTTGGTATGATATATGAAGATAATAAATCTAATTATTTGTAATAAAATGATAATGTATAGCTTAACCGTTATTATAAGGCATGTAGCCATAATGATATGTTGGAGTTTTCGATTCTTTTTTTTTTAATCTGTTTCATTGTTATTTTGTCATTAGTCAAATCTCGAACTTGTTGCAGAATAGCTTTGAATTGTGGCTTATTAGTTTCGTTTAAAGATCTAATTAATTATTCGATTATTAAAATCATTTCTTCTTTTTCATTGAACTTTCTGCTGATTGTATTTGCTCTTCATCAACAGTAATAAAGAATAGAGTGAGTAACCAATGATTTTTTTGAATTTAATTTTTCTTTGATATAGTTTATACGCCAAGCTTGAGCTATAATACTAAATATTTTCATTTTTTTCATTTAATTTATTATACTCGTCTAAACTTTTAAAGGAACAATTCTTTTTATTTGGATCCAGAAAGCTAGTTTTTCTTAATTGGATCTAGAACTATTGTGATTTTGTTTCATAACCTGAACGTGTTTGTGGGCCACTACTTTCACTTTCTGTATAACTAATTGCTGTAAATAATCTTTTTCGCAACTGTTGTAAAAGAGAAAATTATATACAAAAGAAATGGTAATGATTAGGTCATGCAAAATTAATTAATTGTTTTCATAAGCCAGCCAGGCCAAATTTTAGATATTTTTTAAAAAATTTTTTTTATATATTTTAATAACCAGGTAGGTTTTTTAAAAACAATTATATAAAAACAACGTAATGACGTACAGTATAACGAAAACCTTTTTTCCAAGTTGCAAAAGCAGAAAAATTTTAATATATAATATACATGACAACATTATTCGAAGTGAAGTAGCGCTCCGAAATTCAACAGATCCCATTTTCCTAGTATTATTACAGTCATACTTCGAATTTACAAGAGGGAATTGAAAATTAATTTTTTATCAGAAAAATGGAATAAAAAAACAAATACTTACTGTTACCAAGCCAAAAAAGCTCAAAAGATAATAAATCTTCGTAAGTCAAATAGATTAGTTGAAAAGTATCGAAAAGTTATAAAAATAACGTAATAAAAATAATCTTGACTTTGGGTTAGTAATAACTCAAAAAAGAGTTCACTTACCCTATCTTGTCCCAAAATCACAACAAAAACGTCATTACGTAAGAAGGAATTATAGATTCGCTCTTCGTTTAACCCCAAAGTCTCAGATTTCTTAACGATTTCTTCTTCTAAAAAAAAAAAAAAAGAAAAAAATTGAGTACATCGTATG